GGCTTAGTTTCTGTTTGGGTAATTCATAAGATAGTAGGTGATTGTTCCCTATATAGTAGCGGTACAAGATAGATTAGGCATAACTGAAGGAGGTATTACAGGAGTAGAAATGTAAAATTACTAAATTCCTAATAAAGTTCTCCGTATTGTGACAATTTCAAAGTAAAAAAAAAATTTAGATCCGTGTAACATTTAGGTTTAAGGATGACTTAAAATATGTATGTTTATTTCAATTAAAAATTTTACATGATAAAATTGATATTAATCGTTCACACGAAATTATTTACTAAAAAAAAAACTTGAAAGTGCAAAACGGTAGTATTTAAACAGCGAAAAGAATTTTTTTTAAAAAAAAATAGATGTTTGAGAAGTAATTTATTCTTTAATTGCGGCGCATTAGATGGCTACATAAAATTCTAGCCACCTTGATTAGTGATTTCATCCAATGAAAAACGATATTAGTATTTGCCCAATGGGAAGTGGGGAAAAATTAATCTAAAATTTTCAGAGAATCAAAAAATCTCGTGATTTTTACATGACATCATGTTCTGCTGAGATTCACACCTTTTTGCAAAGTGCGTAAGTGATTAATCAATTATAAATTTTTCAATGCGAAACGCTAATTCCGATGCATTCCGACCCGAAATTTTGGGATCCTTCTGCCGCCAAGTTTGCCAAGTTGCCTGTCATCGGGTTTAATTTATAATTTGCCGAACATCAATTCATTTATCAAGAAGGTTAAACCGAAGTTTGAGTCAATTATATTCGTGAAAAGGGATCAAAAAATTAAGATTCTTTAAAAACTAACAGCCAAGTTTATATACAAAACAAGTATATATAATTTGCAGAAAAAACAGTAAAATATAAATATAACATCTTTACGTTATTAAAGGTGCTACGTAGCGCTAGCATTTTATTATAAGTGTATGTTGATCTTTTTTTAATCGGTATGATTGCATTGTATTTAAAAGTGTGGAGTGAATGATTTCCTTTTAAAGTCGCATTGCGTGAGATCTTCATAGTTTGCAAATGCCTTCAGTCAGGCCTGTGAGATTAGCAATTATCATTTGCCATATAATAAAATATATAGTATATTTGTTTATATATGATGTATATAAAAATGTAACATCTCTTATCTTTCCGATAATATTATTAAAGCCGTTGAGAAAGAAATCTTTCAGTTCCTGCTTTGATTACTTTCTCTGGCTTAGCAAGATTGATTGTTGCTGTCAAAAAGCTTCTTGGAGATAGTGTAAATACTAGAAGGTAATTATTATTTCACCGAAACTGTCACCAAAAGTTTATGAATAACGTTATTGCTGCGTTTTCGTTAAACGCTAGTCTGTTCAATTTTTTTTTTTCTTGAAAGCCTAAACGTGCTGTCATAGATTGTTATGAGGTCACTTCTTGAAGAAGACCCTAACGAACAAGCTGCAATTGCCTTCTACAATCTGGTCCGTCAGAACATCATCGCCTTCCTTCTTTTTCTCTCATTATACGCAATATCGTACATTTTATTACAACGGTTTCGAAAAAAATTTAGGGCTTCTGATCCAGATGATGAAGATGATGACCTGTTTGGTATTGACAATTTGGTTATAATCGTTTTATGCGCTGCAGGACTGGCAATGGCCTTGGCTGGCTTTTTATTGCTGCCATTCACAATATTTGCAACAGCCTTGTTGCTTGAAGACTTGAACAAAGAGATATACTATTTGAACTGGCTGGATGCCGCTTTGTTAGAAACCCTCTGGAATTACACCTTCATAGGTTGCAATATTACTCTATTTGTGTTACTTCCGTTTGCTTATTTTTTTAACGAGACGGATCAACAAATAACACTTATAGCAAAAGCTAGAGACACTCTGAGCATTATGGTGTTAGTTGGTTTATTGATGTATGTTTTTATATACGTATCAAAGTTGATTTTTGGGATAGTAAATATCGATGAATTTGTTGTCTTGAATTTGTTGACGTGCTTAGGTGGTGCTGCAATTTGTTGGAAAGCAACACCAAAAGGTTATATTAGAATATGGGCGTGGATAGGTCAACTTCCCCTAAACTTCAATTATAGAAAATCGTTGAAAAATAAATTAAGCCAACACAGAATGGAAATAAGCGCTATAAAGCAAAAGTTGGAAAGTCTAGATCGTGTATGGAAATATCATGGTGAAAAAGCGATGTCCCGTTCAGCAACTTTATTATCTTCGACAGTTGACTGTTCGTCTTCGTCTGACAAATTATATGCATCAATGAATGGGTTCTCCACCAATTCTAGATCAGGATTTTCTACTTTAAATAGAAGAGATTTGCTTACGGCACTCAAAACTCTCGAGGCTGAAAGCCGTCAAACTCAATCTGATCTTTCAAAATCTCCTTTATATCGAAACATATCTTTTTTCCTTCTACTTATACTTAGTCTTTTAATATGGGCTCTCTTACAAGTGCATATATCATGGGCTTTTATTAAAAGTCTATTTGTGGATGACGATCAATATAATGCTTTGAAATTGGAATCCGCTTTTGGAAAAAAAACAGGATCAGTATTTGGAAGATACAGTGTCCTGTTTGATATTTGTTTGATTTTTTATTTTACTGCGTCGACCATAATTGGTGTTTATTCTATTCAGCCATTCAAAAGGATACGTCCTCGTTGGAATAGAATGAACGTTCAACACATGATAGCAAACGTCACAATATTGTTGGTTATTAGCACTTCATGGCCATCTCTTGTAAGAATATTAGGCTTAACCCGATTTGACTGGGTAGGTCCGTACGGGCATTTTCACAAATTAAGGAGTACTGGTCAATGGCTCGCCATCATTTTTCGTGCTGGTGCGTTCGTGACGACCTTATTTTCTTTCTTAGATTATTATATATTGAAAAATTTACCACGTGTACGGAGGTCATCTATAAGTCCACGTGCTAATGGTGTGATGCATAATACTTTTCCTAATGGAGACGTTGATATGGCGACAACAAATGGATATATATTACACGAACCACGTCGATAGTTACTTAAGAACATTTGCTCGGTTGTTTGTCTTTCAGTTAAATCCCTCAGTTGCATGCAATTGATTTAGTTTTTCACTTTTTGCATGGAAAAGTTAGAGTATATAAAAAGGGTCAATTGTCAGTATTTATATTGATATATCATTACTTTTTATTACAAATTATACAAGATTGAATTTTTATCATTGGAGGAATTTGTTTTTCTCTTTTGCAAATTTTATTGTATAGTTATACTATCTTATATTTTTTTGGCATTTTGTTAATATCAAATTATACGAAATTGAAAACAATATAATATGTAATATACGTAAACATTTGGTAAGTAATAGAATAGGTAATAGGCATTATATTATTAGCAAAAACAATCTGTAAAAAGGAAATATGATTTTAATTTATATTATATATCATTGGATTTGTTAACACGAAAATTAGTATGATAGCATATATTTGATAAAATTTATTATGTTCGTTATATAGGTTTTTTTTTTTGTCATTTACATATTATCTAAGTTTATTGATGCTGGTATAATATAATACTAATCAAAAAATCATTTGACAATTTTTTTTGATGAATTCAAAAATGTATGCTCATTTTGGTTTTATTGTTCGACCAAAAATCGGGATAGTATATTTATTTTACCGGTATATAGTAATGTTATATACCGGGTGTTTGACAAGTCCCTAGACAGAATCTTTTTCATATCTCCGCTAGTATTGGTTTTTATTATATAAAAAATTGATTATTGCTAACTTGCCCCTAGTTAAATCACCTGGGGTGCTGTAGTTCTAAGTAAAAATGTTCAGAACCCCAAAAACCTTATGCGTAACAAAATTTGGACCTTTATACTGTATCATATATAGTATAATAATATTTAATGATTTAGTGATTAAAAAAAAGGTCCTGTCTAGGGGCTTATCAAACACTCGGTATATGAATTTGTTTAATAAAACTCCCAAACCTTTTTAAATACTAATCTTTAAATTTTTTAATTTTTATATATAGAAGTATAATTTTTTTTTTTATTAAAATAAAATCTTGTTTGATATTTAGAGATTATAGAAAATTTGTATATTTTTAGAATAAGTATTGTAACTTTTTATATTATACTACAGTATTCTAGTTATTTATAAATTTGACATAGTAATTATTTTTAGATTAAATTTGCCAGAAGCAAGTAACATCAAAGAACAAAATTTCTTTAGCTATTTATTATTTGAAATTAACAAATTTATATAATAAACAGTTAACAAAACTTAAAAAAATTTAGTTTCTAATATTATTTGCTTCTAACAATTTAGCTAATTATAATTTTTATATAGAACATTTACCCCAATTAGCCAATAATATTCAAGGATCGACAACCAATCAGAATAGATTTATATATATAGTATTATTTTTGTACGTATCATCTTTAAGCCTATAACTGATAACAATGCTGGTTTAACGTAAATTTTGAATGCCCCCTATCCTAATAGTATTGTCACGATACTTTTACTTCAACAGTTATTTTCAACATCACATAGGGTTAGGGTTAGAGTTAGCATTTGAGGTATATATTTTAGTAAATTGTCTCTTGGCATGATGTCGGATGAAATAAGGCGGATCCAAAAAATTGTACTTACAAAATAACATGTATTTAATTATTGGCTGGTTGATTAACATCGTAATGCAGGTGATCAATTGCCAATGCGCCAAGACCGGTTTTAACCATACGGGATTCAATTTCCAATATCGCTATTTAGCATCGAATTCTGTAAGGTGAAAACTATCAAATGAATAAGGTCTTCATTCGCATTAAACTTTTACATTTTTTCTAATAACAGATTTAATACAAAAATAAATACGCGATAATAGTACAAATTTCCTGCCCGGACCATCTGAAGCTTAACATTATTACTACTATGTTTTATAACTGTAACCCACGAAACGACCAAGCATCATATGGTTCGAGTGAGAAAGTATATTACAATACATATAATAATATAACTTAAGATTTTTTCATTTTTTCTGCATTAATTTGTTCTAAAAGAGCAATTGCTTTAGGTTGATTTTTCAGAGCAGCTAGTCTAGTGTATGATTCGGCCTTTTCTTTATCAATCGGTATTCCAAGTTTCCCATTCCAATAAATATCACCCAGATTAAAAAGTGCTGTAGAATTTTCATAGTCTGCGGCCATCATCATATATTTCATTATTTCAGCAACGTTTTTACTTTTGTTTTCAATAAGAGCAAACGCGTAACGAAGTTGAGCATCAGCAACGCCATTATCCGCCGCTTCTTTAAAGAGACGAAGAGCGGCTTCAGGATCCTTTTGTCCATTAAGTCCAGTTAACAAATAATAACCTTTCCAATATTTGGCTACATTGTTTCCAAGATCAGCATGGCCGACAAAGCATTCCCAAGAGACCTTGTAATTTTTCGCTTTATGTTCTTTGATACCATCTTCAAAAGGCATGAGGGTTTGTATCGGAGGTATTGAGTAATCAGTTAAGTCACAGGGCATTTCAATTTTTGATTCTGTCAATTCAACATATGGGATTTCAATGTCACAATAAGGATCTTTAGGACGTATCTGAGGAGAAGTTTCCTGAAATCGTTCATAAAGTTCTTTTAATTTCAATTGCACTTCTAAATCTGAAGGACGTGCAGAAGGTTCATCTTGCCAAGCTTTTATAAATAAAATTATTCTAATTAAAAAGCTTCTAATAACACATCATAATGAATCAATAATTATTATAATAATGCCCACCTTTTTTAATGATTTTAGCAAGTTCATTTGGAATTTCTGATGGGCAAAGTGCGATTTTAAGAGTTTCGCGTTTTTTATTCATGACATGTTCTTGAATAGCGGTTACACTATTCATTTCTTTGTAAGGAATTCTTTGATGGCAAAGTTCCCAAAGCAACATTCCAAAACTATAAAATAAAACATGTAATGTTAATTATATGAACTTAAATTATAATTAATGTTAAAAGATTTAATATTTGCCTAAACATTTCACATTGATGATTATATCGTTGTTCGGCACCACCCTTTGTTACACGCATTTTCTCTGGAGCTAACCATCTTACGATGTCTAACAAGTTTTTAACTTCTGCAGATAATCCTTGAACAGTACGACTCAATTCGAAATTCGAAAGTTTAGCCTCATGGCTATCTGTAATCTATTATTGTATATTATTGTATAGGAATCATTATTACTAATGTTTTTTTAAGGTTTAAGCTTAAAGACGTGAATGTATTCATACCAAAATATTTTCACAACGAACATCGTGATGTAAAATATTGCATTGATGCACGAATACAAGACCGTTACATATATCACGAGCAAATTTTAGTTTCAAAGGCCATTTTATTTCATATTTTGTGTACATCTCTTTCAAATTGCCGTACGATGCCCAGTTAAAAACCATTACATCGTTGTTATCAACTTTCGAAAGTCCATAAAAAGTAACAACATTCGGACATAAGGTTCCTAATTTAAGTAGAATGATCAATTCTGTTTGACCTTTTTGAGATTGTGCTGTATCGTTATTTTCGATATTTGGAACTTTTTTACAAGCAACTTCAAGCCCACGAAACAATTTTTTAACAACAGTTTTTCTGCTACCACGAACATTATCATCTGATGCAAATGGATCATTTAATTGATTCGGGTCAACCATGGGTGCTTTGTATGCCTCGTTCAAAGGTGTTCTCACTGTAGTGGCTCTACCCGCTGATCTGCTGGCCTGTAAATTCAAATTCTCCATGCTTGATGCTAATGCGGCCACTTCATTCATCACCACTTTAAGGTTAGATTTCACCTCATTCATAGACTGTCCATATCATTTGGAATTTACAATTTACAATTTTAAACCACGTAAATTATGTATAAGAAAATAATAATTATTTTTTTTTAAATGACAATAAGAATACCTTGTTCAAAACGTCAATATCTTCGGCTACATTTTTAGCCTCCTGTTCTCTTCGTTCAGCATCATACATTGCTATAGTAAAATGCAAATCACTACATACATCTTCAAATTCTTTGATATTTTTATCAAATGCATCTTTAATTGCATTAGCATTTATAAATTTTTGAAAGCATGATAATTGCGTAATTTCTTTAGCAAATTTCTTAATATTCTCTAAAACATTAACAAATCTAACAAATGCATAATAATATTTTTGATTTCGAAATTTTTCTTCATTAGCTTGTTTTTGCCGTTGTAAAGATTTCACTGCGTATTGTGCAATTTCGACACGTTCAACTAATACTAAACAAATTTTTTGGTTGCATTTGGCATTTTCATAGATTTGTGATAATTGTTGAACGATATTTGTGACCATGCTGAATAATGGAACAAAAGGTTGAACGGCATCACCGACGGTTTGTATGGCATTAACTACTCCTGATGATGTGTTGAATTTTCCACGATTTTCACCAGCTGAATTCTTTCTCTCTGTCGTATTATTGGTGTATTCATTTTTTTCTTTTGGTTGGGAAGACATTATTATTTTTGAATGAATGTAATTACCTCAAATTTATCGATTTTGAAATCCAGGCTTTCTAAACATAAAAAGGACGAAAAAGATATGAGCTACCATATTTACGTTATAAATATTTACAACGTTCAATTATGCATTTACGGTTACGGCTAAATGTGAATAAACTCCGTTGTGCCTCGGGCTATCTGTTCCATAGAAGTTGTAAAAGACACGTGTACAACATTGTGCAACGGCGAAATTCTGTTTTAATGTAAAGTAGATACAATGTGGATAATTTTCTTTAATTTTACGAGAGTACCCCGAAATTCTCAATCGGATTTCATTGCTAGGCTAGAATTAACAAATTTTGTCTATCTCAAAATTTACCTATGAAGTTATAGAATTTTACTCATAATTTGCTGATATTCCTTGCTCCAAGAATTCTGACCCGAAATTCCGGTAAAAAAAAATTGGCTTGTCAAGCAAATTTCATGTAGCAGATTACACTAGCGATCATAAATAATGCAACAAAAAAAAATTTGTATTATTTCACGCAATTCTGGGTGTATCCTTTAACTTTTTTTTTTTTTTTTTTACTTATAAATAGCTCCTTTTTTCAATGTTAAAATTTTAATAGTCATTTTTATAACCAAATCTTTCTGCCCGTGCCTTCGTCATTCGAAATCAGTCGTTACTTTAAAAATTACTTGCTTCGGGTAATCGAAGTATATGTTAGGTTGGTTTCATCGGAATTATCGTGACTTCTACTTATAACATAAGTTACTTGCTATTCCAGTTACAATGTTCGTAGTTGAGGTTGAGTTTATATTGAATTATTGTAATTCCTCTCATGAATTGCTGCAATAAATCAAAAATGTAGTAATTTTGTATTAGAATTATCGTAGTTTCTATAAAGAGTTGCTATTAAATATTCTTTCTGCTAAAGAATTCGCCATTCTATCAGCATGTTATGTATTTAAGGTCAAGTTAGCTTGCATTGAATTATCGTGACTTCTATCATGAGCTTAAGTAAAACTTACTTACTATTCCAATCGCAATAGTTGGTAGTTATAGTCGAGTTAGTTTGTATTGCAATTACCATCATGAGTTGCTGTAAAAAATTATGTTACAAAATTTACTTGCGGTGATCATATGTGGTAAATAGAGGTCTGACTCGGTCAAAATAATGGGAATTCGAATATTGATTTGATCAATTTTTTTATATTCGAAAATCCGTTAAAAAATTCGAATAAATATTCGATGTATTCATTGAATATTCGATGAAACTCGATACATATACATTTTTTATTTTTAATAGCACTATTTTATTACACACTATACTAGTTAATATTTTTCGCTAAGCTAATTTTTTTTTAATTCGCTTATAATTAGGTTTTAGATTTCAACCAGTAAAGTTAAAAGCTATAGTATTATATATAAAACGTATAATTCTCAAAGTAAGTATAAACCCAAATTTTCGATAGTAAGCACTTATACCTTATAAAAAATTATTTATAAATTCATTTGATATTAAATTTAAAGATCATATTACAAGATTACACAAGTACTGAAATAGATCTAAAAAGATCATTTCTCAATATTTATTATTACACTGTTTTTTATTTTAATTCATTTTATTTAGCATAATCAAAAAAAATTTATATCTAATAGATTCATTTAAAAAATACTTTTTCAAACTATCTTATAATAACATTTATAGAGAAAAGAGATAGAGAAGATAAAATTAAAAAAAAAACTCACCAAAACTTCACACATTCAAATCATAAAGATTTTCTAATTCATGATGATTTCGGTTTAAAAATATCATTCGTTCAAATAACCTGGGCTTTAGCATTGTTCTTCTAACAGTCATTAGATTGCTTGCATCACTAAAAAGTCATTCACTTGGTGTTGAGGTAGCAAGTATTGCGAGATATTGCCTGGCAAGCATGCTTAATGTGAGAAAAAAGGCTTTTTAAGAATTTCACCAGTGAAAAGGATTAGATTTGTAAAAAATTTTAGGTAAAGAAAGATAATGGATAAGTTTATCATTCGGCTCTTTGGGAGTATTTTGTATAAAAATTGATTTGAAAAAGGTCTTATCATAAATTTGATGTTGCTCTTTCTAATTATTTTTAGTTGAAAACTGTTTCTCATTAAAATTTAAAGGCAGTGAAGATTGACAGAGAGATTTCATATTATTATATTTTTCTCGAAAGGCTACTTCAGCTTGGCATTGTTGACTTGAAGATGCAGAATTTAATTTTTTAAACCTAGGATCTAGGAGACATGCGATAAATACTTCATCATCTGACAAGTCCCAATAGTGTAAAAGAGCACTATACAACAAATTTTTAATTTTTTGTTTCATATCAATAATGTTAATAGGTGTATTGATTTTAATTTTTCTTTCTTTAGGACCGCCTTCTTCCTCTTCATGAGCATTAATAAATCCAATATTATTGTCAAATACTAGACCAGTTGTTTTTTTTCTAAATTGCTAGCAGAACAATCTAATCTTTTCATTAATTCTAAAATAAAGAGAACTATGAAGGAAATTGTAACATATTTGAAACCACCAAGTTCCTCCGTAACCTCAAAAAAGGGACCCAAAATTTTTATAAGATCACGCATTAAATTCCATTCATCATCGGTTAACTGTATCTCTCTTAATCTTTTTGCATCTTTTCTGGATTTAGATATAGTTGAAACAGTTAATGTTGCTAAGACAATATCAATAGAAAAGATGAATTCCAACGAGTGGATACATCTATTTTTGTATGAAGATATGTTGAGGTTTTTGTAATTATCTATTGTGTAAATATTTTAATAATTAAATAACATTAATTGACAATATTATTAATAAAATTCTCAGGATATAATAAAGCATTTAAGCTACTTTAGATTGAGCTAAGGTGTTTAATGTTTTATTTTAGCCTGGTTAGTGAAGTGGTACATATTCTAATTATTTTTAATATATATTAATATTATATCTTTATCTGAGATTCTTAGTGTTTTTTGAGCATCTTCAAGCCATTTGTTTTGTTTCAGTGCTATAAAAAAGTTGATTAATCATTTGGCCTGTGCTACAAGTACTTTAGCAGACATCAAACCTTTTTCAATGACTAGCTGTAACATATATGCTAAACAAGGGATTCTTTCTACATTACCTATTTTATTAATTGCTGCTTTCATATTGGCCCCATTATCACTTGTAATTGAATAAACTTTTCCTGTAAGACTCCACTTTTCAATTATCTCTTCTAATTTATTTTGGATAGTGTTAGCAGTATGAGAGTATCTAACATATGTTAGAGAAAGCAATATTTTGTGGATCTTGAAATCAGAATCGAACTATGAACAGGTAATACCAAAATACCTTGTCTATTTCGAGATGTCCACAAATCAGTTATTAGTGAACAAAATATTATAGAATCCTTGAGCTTTTCTCACATAATTTCATAAGATTTATTATATAGAGCATAAATTATTTGTTTTACACATTTTTCGTCAGGTAAACTAAACATTAGATCTAATTCTTTTATGAATTCATGAAAGTTAGGGCTTACTGCAAAACTAATTGGTTGTGCATCATGAATAAGAAACTTAACAAGTGCTTTAGTCAATTTGTCATTTTTAGATTTAGTATATGGATAAGGGCCAGATCTTGCAAATAAATCAATTGTGGTTTGCATAGGCTAGGTAATATAATTTTATTAATTATTAATTCATTTTAATAATAAAAGCAAATAATTATTGTAAAAATAATTCATACATTATCTTGTTTATATAATTTAGGTCCATCTTTCATGATACTATAAATATTTGATAAATGATTTATTAGATTCAAGGTTGACCCGCTTACTATTCTTAACCATGTATTACATTTTTCTTCAGAATTATCCAATACAAGACAAATGCCGTACATGACTTCAATATTGACATTTTTAGACTTTTCAATTACTTTTTCAGAATCGAAATATTTCCAGACCCAGCTTCGCTTTTTTGAGCTGCCTTTATGTCTTACTTTTGTTTTTTTTATAAATTGGCTTTTTAGATATTTCATTATTGCTTTCTTCTTCACTTGCGCTTGTGTTTTCTGAAATTTGGCTATCAGGTCCATTAATGGATAGTTCATCAGGTATCTGAACTAATAAATAGGACTGTAAACCTTCTTCTTCTATAAACTTAACGATTTGGGCAAGATAAGTTAAAAGATAAAATTTTTAAAGCAAAGGATCTTATATTTGAAATTCAAATTAGATATTTTTTATTAACTAGATTCTTTGTTCTTTTATATCTTACAAGAAGATTTTGATTACATATTATCTTATCTATTTTACATGTGAATCTCAGGTAGAGATGATGATCGATTATACAATAATTAATTACTTAGTCTTATTATTCACTATATTTTATTAATATGTTTTATTATGAGAAAAATCAAATGCATTAATCATTAAATTTAATTCAGAACACCATTCTATTTTAAAGATATGAAAAAAATGACCAGACATGATTAATTATTCATGATCAATTCTATAAAAATCAAAAAAATTTTGATCGATCAGCATCTCTAATCTCAGGTGAAGATTAAGAAAATTCATAGTAACTAATAGCTTAGGCTACAAAAAAAAAGTATCTATCTAATTTTATCTTATTTGCAATTTTTAAAAATATTTGAGTGCTTCATATTTCCATTTTTATTTGAATTTGCTTACTAATTTTCTTTCTTTTTGGCATGAATTTGAAGGCTTGGATATATTTTAAAGAAAATTAATATAAGTAAATTTAAATGAAAATGAAATATAAAGTATCATGTTGAAAATTATAATTGTGAATAAATTAATAACAACAAATTGGAATAAGCTATATTAAAGGCTGTGTAATTGAACATAAAAATTTAATTTCTTTTCAGTGTGAATTCAAAGGCTTCTTAGAATATACTTTGAATTTTTATGTTAGACTGCACAGCCTTTAATGTAGCTTATCCTAATTTGTCATTATTAATTTCTTTGTATTCAAAATTTTTAACACAATAATAAATTCCATTACTTGACTAATTTGGTTAGTAATTTTAAGTAAGAGAGGCACGAGGACAAGATTATGTGCCACACATTCTATTTGAATCACGGCATCAAAGATCATTTTTATCAGGCAAAATTGACTTCTGCTTTTTTGTTTTTAATAAAGCTTTTATATTTCTTATTATGTAAGGTATGGTGATATTATACAAAATTAGAATTTAGTGGATTAGGCCTAGCAAATAAAATTAATTGTTTCTTGTAACATATTGAAATTAAAACACACACGGCACCTGGCTGTTTTTGTACAAAAGCAAAAAAATGTTATATAAATTTTTTATATAAAAAATAATAGATAAATTATAGATATCAGATAACTTAATACACAAATGGATATATGTATGTATGTATGGTTTAGGAAATCTCATTAGGGAGCATCCATAATTTATACTACATTGTTATTATCTTAAAAGATTAATACTGGTTTAATATAGATGCCTCCTTAAAGATAAGCTAAATTCAGTAACAGCTTATTTTAAGTTTCTGCAGTATGTATAAAATTTAAGTACATATGAGTGCCGTCATAGAAAAACCTACAATTAGGCTTTTAAGTATATTTTGTGTACAGTTGGTTATCTGTATGCTGTCTATGATAAATCTATCATCGAATATATATTTACCATAGACGACACACAGATAACTAACTATACATAAAATATACTTAAAAGTCCAATTGTAGGGTTTCCTTTGACAGCACCCATATTATAAATTTTTCTATACAAAAAGATAGTTTAAGAATTGATTTTCAATATACTGCCAATTTACGTATTATTTCTATATGAAGATATTAAGATTTTTAAATTTCTTGCACTATATATACAAGTGCAAGTATTAAACTTGTTAATTCACAATAATAGTATTTCTATTATTGTATTTAAGTTTTACATGCTATAATAGTACTATAAAATAATGAAATTTAAAAAGAAAACCTTAACAATATCAAATAGATTGTTGGTTTACTTTTTTAAATTTTGAACGATTATGTCATACAGCTATTATTATAAATAGAAGATTCAAGAAGTTTTTTTTTAGTTTTTGATACAAATACTATGGTCATTATCAAATTTTTTTAAATATTTTTACTTTTCTATATATCTTATCAATAAATTCATTCTAATATACATGTCTCTAGGTCATAGAAATACTTTCGCTAGTAGAACGATTATTGTTTAGTTCTCATGATATGAAGTCAATAATCTAAAATTTTAATTTAATCCATTGTTGTAATTATCTAATTTGTTCAACCATCAGCTTTTTTTTCAAATATCAAGAATCTTGTGTCCATTAGCTTGTAATACTTCGATTTATGTGGTCCCAGGGTAAGTATCTATAAATATTATTTGACTATATAATATAGTAAAAGAGTCACACACAATATTTTAATCCCTAATTTTGTCAAAAAAAAAATACAAGATTTTTTTTTCTTTACATTATGCCGGCAATAAACATACAGATCATTCAAGAATCTAAATACTATTCGGTTAGAAAATAGTACTGTTACAAACTGATGTTACAATCGAACAATTTTTTTTAGAACTAATCGAAAAACATGCATTAAGCAATAATTTGGCTTTAGTTGAAAAAATCGAAATTTGGTGTAAAAACTTAAAAGTTATAGTTAATCAAAACATTGATATTGAATGTAATTTGTGAGAAATAGCATTGGAATATGGAAAACATTTTATTTTTCATTTAGTTACATCCCAAATAACTTCATCAATTCACCAATATATCAACCCCTTTGATATTATATTTAATACTCAAAGTTCATCTACACTTCCAATATGGAAACCTAACAACAAACTCAATAAAAAACAACTACTATGAAATGATATAATGGCATGGATTAAAGAAGAGAATGGTGGCTAAATCGGACCAGACGCTGCTAAGACAATCGGAAAACCATTCATACAAGATTTAACTAACACACTATAGTATATAGATAGTTGTAACTATAGTACATTTACCCAATGACATAACTTACCAAAAGTTTTTGAACGTTTCATGGGATATAATAATCCATCAGATTATAAATGTGATTGACCTAGATTTGATTCTGAGGAGCTTAATGAATATAGTGACTGCCTTCTTAAATACATTATACACCCATGGATGTCAAAATTACCATTTTCAAGATTTTTTAAAGAACCGGTAACGAAGCTTGGTAAAGATCTTTCTAAATATGCGGAATATCTTGTTCGCAAACGTGTAAAAACATCTCGAAATTAAGAACTAGATTGCCCTATAATTAATGAAAATAATAATGGTCAATTAAAAATACTGGCAGCAAATATAAGGTGTATGCCAGATAATATTATAAAATATAGAGGTCTTTCATTAGCTCTGCAAGCAAAACAATACTGGCAGCCAATTTTGGTTGATGACTTCTGCTCTTTGATGTCATGCATATAAGCATCTATGAATTAAAAAAATATAAAATATAAAATATAAAAATAAAATAAAATATTAAAACTACTTTAAATATAATAAATATGTAGGCAAAAGCACTAATATATAATGAATTTGGACGCTAGATTCATATTCAAAGTTGGAATCTATGCTTATTACCATAGCAATACTTATAATGCAACATATGTTTGGCATATAGATGATGATGCAGCAGAAGAAGAACTTTCCAATGAATATTACAAAATTCAAACAGAAATTAAAAAGCAACTTCCAACTTATCATATATGCTGCATGCATAGAGAGTATATAGATATTTGTGAGCTTCATCTAAATAAACAACCAAAGGCAAAGTTGAAATATATATATAAGGAATTGACAAACGACGCTTCAGCTGCAGAGACAACAAATCAAAAAGAAATAGATGAGTGTGTTAAATTGGCATTTAAACTTAATGATCCAAAGATAATTTGTGATTTAAGAGAACTTGATAAAGGTCGACCAGAGAAATATGATGAATTCTGGGCCTTAAGCAAAGATTTTTTAGAAGGTACAGCACAAGAAGCTATAGTCACCATTGATGAAAGAAGACATGATCCAATTGTGTACCTTGCACAGGCTATTTCAGTTTGTGATCTTTGTGATATGATAACGCAAGAGTTAATAAAAATTAATACACAAATACCAATTCCATCAACACAATAGCTACATTTACAATTTTGGCCAACCTCACCAACAAATAAAAGTAGTCTTCAATATATAGCCATTTTACCTGTTAAATTCATAGTCCAGGTTCGTCAACTTCAATTTGAACATATTGATATGTATTACACATCAGCATTATTTTGATATCTAAAAGAAATAGCTATTATGTTTCAAAATAAGGCTCGCCTTGTTTTTATGGATGATAAACATCGCTGTAAAGTCAGCGAACCTGGGTACCCAGTTGCTGCTATAGAACGAGGAAAATGTGTACTTGTTAATCACAATACAATATTTGTTGTAGCCGATCACGATTTTACAAAATGTGGAATTATCCCAAGTGTTACAATGTTATGCAACATACCTAAAACAATTGAAGAATCATTTTATACTAGAAAGGTGTATGTTGGATTAAAAGATTGTATATTTGAACCATCTAGCCCAATACGACATATTACTGAATTATATAACGTTTTAAAAGACACTAATGATGATAAGCCTTACCTTTTTTTATATACTGATAGTGGGCCAGACTACTGTGTAAACTTCTTTCGTGTACAACTTGTATTAATTGCAATTTTTTTGGCCTTGGATCTTGATTTTTTGGTTGCCGTTCAAATATCCCTAGGACATTCATAGAAAAACCCAGTTGAACAGGTTATATCTATTTTGAATATTGCAGTATGTCAGCCTTATGAGAAGTGAAATGAATAAAGAATTGGAAGATTTAATAAAGAGTTGCAACACAATGGAGGAAATCCAAAATAAAGCGAATAACATACCTCAGCTTAAAAGTGGAATAATCGAAAGCTTGCAACCTACTAAATCTATTATGCATGATATTTTTGAATGATTGGAACTTAAGGGAGAAAATTTTTTTGTATTCGAATCAGCAACCGAGCAAGATATGGAATGTTTATGGGAGTTAGTACTTGAAGTAGATAAT